TGACCGGCCGCATGTCTCAAAGCTGGGCTCTTACGAATGGAGTGACCTTATTATTGTCGGAACAGAGGTACTTTGGCCAGTCGAGAGAGGGCTACTAATAATTACACTGGGACCGTTCCCAAGTAAACCAGCTATAATGTTACTGTACTTGAAAAAGCAGGCCTACCCAACACAGCATGGACATTGCCTGCTTACCTCACGGCCGTGGCTTGGGATGGAACAGGCTGTCCGGCTCCATCCCCACCTGTTTCTTCACCTTCGTCGCTGTCCTTGTTGTCACTGTGTTTATTTAGAGCTAGTCTTTGGAGCCCAACATGGACAGGCTTGGGTTTAATCCTGACAGCACCCTTTATAAGCTGTGCTCAGCTGATTCATCTCTGTCAAGTCTCCTCTTCTTTGTGGGATAATAACTATTGGCAGACTGGACATTACATATATAAAGTGTGGGACACCTAGCAGATACTCAGCAGAGGGCAAGCAGTATTACCTCTAGGAGCCCTGCTGCCCTGAGCATTCTCACTTGGCCCTATCTCATTTGTAGCACAAAATGCAAGAACCCAGAGTCGCCTCTCATTTAGAGATTATGCTTCACTTGGAGGCAGAAAGGAAGGCTCCCTGTCAGCTTCAGGTGCTGATGGGCTGGGGTCTCAGAGGGCTGCAAGCTAGGGATGGGTGATGTTTGTTTCCATGAAGCCTGCTGAGCTGAACAGCTGACCCGGCCTGGCCCGCCTCAGTGGTCCACGCCCAGGTCTTGGCACCCCCTTCTTGGATTTCGGTCCTCTAGGATCCTCAGGCTCTGAGGATGGGAGCTGTCTGGGTGTGTTACTCATGCCATTGCCCTCAGAGCTGTCCAGAGGAGCTCATTTTGGATTCTCCTTCTTGTCTCTCTGCTGCAAATTGTAATCAGATTGGCCGTAAACCCGCTTTCCTCCTAGCCATTCTCAGTAAGTCTCCGCTGCTTCAGAGCAGTCCCACCCCTCTCACTTCCCTCCTTCCCTTTGGCTGCTTCAGCATCTTCAGCTGGGTCCGGCATCTCTCCTATTCCTCTACCAACCCATCTCTATTTTTTGTCCTTTTCAGCTTCTCCAGAATCATGCACCAAACTGTGAAGGAACTGTCACCGAAGTGTAATGTGTCCTTCCTCTTATCTGAAGACGGCAGTGGCAAGGGAGCCGCCCTCATCACAGCGGTGGGCGTTCGGCTCCGGCAAGAAATGAGCAGCTAAGAGTCCTGACCCCCAGCCTGCTGCCCTTCCAGCACTTCTCTCTTCAAGCAGCAACCCCTTATTTTGCCCAGCGAGCTGTGCTGGGAGACGCCGGCACCAGAGCCCGCCTGCATCACCGCAGGGAGGAAACCAGAAGCCCACTAACGGCGCGTAACATAGGGTACAAAATAGAGTGTGCTGTTGATAATCTCCCTGCCCTCCAGGTCCCTCCTCACCTGCCCTGCCACTCTGCATGATTTGATTTCAACCCGTCGTATGTTCCCCACGTATGAAGTTTAGTGGCGTCCGTTTCTAATTTATGCAGTCGTCCAGCAGTTATTTATTGGCCCAAGATGAAAAGTCACACCATCTGACAGGCCTTAAGGGCCTCCGCTGCCCGTCCCTGGGGACCCATCCCCCATGTGCAATGTATTATCACCAGCAGACACTGCCGGGACTTCTCCTCCCCTGGGTGCAGCGGCCGCCACTTCCTCCCGGCCCCGCACCTGCTGCTGTCTGGTGTCCCATCTGGGCATGGCAATGCCACCGAAGTGTGTGTCCGTGGAACTGGTCACAGCCACATTGTGACAGTCTTGCTTTCTGTCTGTCTTGGGGAGGGGAGGTGGGCAGTCCTGCGGGAAAGTGTCTTGTCTCCATTCGGGTAAAAGGAACCAATCAAGAAACAGTACGCTCATTGGAATTACCCATCGCTTTTGTGAGCCATGTTGTATGACCTAGTAAACTTTGTACCAATTCAAAGACCCGAGTGACGCTTGATGACTGGGGGGCAGGGAGGATGTTGGGGGATGTGGCAAAAACCAAACCCTGGGGGGTTTTGTGGCCTTCTGGGTCGGAAGTTTGAAAGGAAGGCTGTGTTCTTTAGCCCACAGCCTTCTTTTGGCTCAAGGACTTCTGTGCTCTCCCCATGTCTTCTAGCACCTGCCCTCCAGGCTCCTTGCTGCAGCCCCAGGGGCCTGCCTTGGGGAGGGATTCCTGCACCCCCGCCTTGACCCCTTTCAGAAGGTAAAGCCTCTGTCTTCCAACAGCCTGCCTTCCTCACCCGTAGCTGGAACAAAGTAGAAGCTTGGCTTGCAGGGGCTGTTTGGGTTTCCCGAGAGGACGGGGCAACACTGGCCCCCGCCGCTCCCGCTGGTCCCGAGCAAGTCCTGCCTTCATCATCCTGTCTAGGCAGAAAGGAAGGCTCCCTGTCAGCTTCAGGTGCTGATGGGCTGGGGTCTCAGAGGGCTGCAAGCTAGGGATGGGTGATGTTTGTTTCCATGAAGCCTGCTGAGCTGAACAGCTGACCCGGCCTGGCCCGCCTCAGTGGTCCACGCCCAGGTCTTGGCACCCCCTTCTTGGATTTCGGTCCTCTAGGATCCTCAGGCTCTGAGGATGGGAGCTGTCTGGGTGTGTTACTCATGCCATTGCCCTCAGAGCTGTCCAGAGGAGCTCATTTTGGATTCTCCTTCTTGTCTCTCTGCTGCAAATTGTAATCAGATTGGCCGTAAACCCGCTTTCCTCCTAGCCATTCTCAGTAAGTCTCCGCTGCTTCAGAGCAGTCCCACCCCTCTCACTTCCCTCCTTCCCTTTGGCTGCTTCAGCGTCTTCAGCTGGGTCCAGCATCTCTCCTATTCCTCTACCAACCCATCTCTATTTTTTGTCCTTTTCAGCTTCTCCAGAATCATGCACCAAACCGTGAAGGAACTGTCACCGAAGTGTAATGTGTCCTTCCTCTTATCTGAAGACGGCAGTGGCAAGGGAGCCGCCCTCATCACAGCGGTGGGCGTTCGGCTCCGGCAAGAAATGAGCAGCTAAGAGTCCTGACCCCCAGCCTGCTGCCCTTCCAGCACTTCTCTCTTCAAGCAGCAACCCCTTATTTTGCCCAGCGAGCTGTGCTGGGGGACGCCGGCGCCAGAGCCCGCCTGCATCACCGCAGGGAGGAAACCAGAAGCCCACTAACGGCGCGTAACATAGGGTACAAAATAGAGTGTGCTGTTGATAATCTCCCTGCCCTCCAGGTCCCTCCTCACCTGCCCTGCCACTCTGCATGATTTGATTTCAACCCGTCGTATGTTCCCCACGTATGAAGTTTAGTGGCGTCCGTTTCTAATTTATGCAGTCGTCCAGCAGTTATTTATTGGCCCAAGATGAAAAGTCACACCATCTGACAGGCCTTAAGGGCCTCCGCTGCCCGTCCCTGGGGACCCATCCCCCATGTGCAATGTATTATCACCAGCAGACACTGCCGGGACTTCTCCTCCCCTGGGTGCAGCGGCCGCCACTTCCTCCCGGCCCCGCACCCGCTGCTGTCTGGTGTCCCATCTGGGCATGGCAATGCCACCGAAGTGTGTGTCCGTGGAACTGGTCACAGCCACATTGTGACAGTCTTGCTTTCTGTCTGTCTTGGGGAGGGGAGGTGGGCAGTCCTGCGGGAAAGTGTCTTGTCTCCATTCGGGTAAAAGGAACCAATCAAGAAACAGTACGCTCATTGGAATTACCCATCGCTTTTGTGAGCCATGTTGTATGACCTAGTAAACTTTGTACCAATTCAAAGACCCGAGTGACGCTTGATGACTGGGGAGCAGGGAGGATGTTGGGGGATGTGGCAAAAACCAAACCCTGGGGGGTTTTGTGGCCTTCTGGGTCGGAAGTTTGAAAGGAAGGCTGTGTTCTTTAGCCCACAGCCTTCTTTTGGCTCAAGGACTTCTGTGCTCTCCCCATGTCTTCTAGCACCTGCCCTCCAGGCTCCTTGCTGCAGCCCCAGGGGCCTGCCTTGGGGAGGGATTCCTGCACCCCCGCCTTGACCCCTTTCAGAAGGTAAAGCCTCTGTCTTCCAACAGCCTGCCTTCCTCACCCGTAGCTGGAACAAAGTAGAAGCTTGGCTTGCAGGGGCTGTTTGGGTTTCCCGAGAGGACGGGGCAACACTGGCCCCCGCCGCTCCCGCTGGTCCCGAGCAAGTCCTGCCTTCATCATCCTGTCCGCCAACTCCAAACTCCAGGCCAACAGATGAAGAGACCCCCTGCCCTGAGTAGATGAAGCCTTGCAGCAGCCCTGGGGAGCAGGGTTGTGGTGCTCTCCACCCCCGCCGCCTCGAGGGTGCTGTTCCACTCTGTGGCTGCCATTTTGGATTCCTCCCCCCAAGCTGGTCAGTGGACCCCACATCCGTCCACATTCTGGTACCTGCGACTGCAGTGCCATGTGAGCATCCCCGGCCATGGTCACCCCTCTGCATGGTTTTCCCCAGGACTGACTGCATGTTCACTTGGTTGGTGAGACCAGGGTCCCTTTATTGGCACTGCCAGTGCCTACGGCACAGTGATTTTGTGAAGAACACAGGTAACATTAAACTCTAGGTGTGCGTTTACAGCATTATGTGGTTCTTCTGGAAGGGCCCGAGGCAGGGAAGGTGAGTCAGCAGGCAGGGTGAGGTGTGGACCCGGCTGGGCCTGGAGCTTTCTAGGGGATGGGACAGTTGGTGTTCTCTGCCTGCCAGCCTCTCGAGCAGAAGTAAGGGTGATGGCTGTGTTGCTGACTTGCAGAGGCATTCATGTCAGACGGCTGCCATAGTAGTAATGAAAGTCACGGCTGCTGTTTATGAGGGCTTCTCAGGTGACTCAGTGGTAAAGAATCTGCCTGTCAATGCAGGAGACACAGGTTTGATCCCTGGGTTGGGAAGATCCCCTGGAGGAAGACATGGCAGCCCACTCCAGTATTCTTGCCTGGAGAATCCCACGGACAGGAGCCTGGTGGGCTACAGTCCATGGGGTCACAAAGAGTTGGACATGACATAGTGACTGAGCACACACGCTGTTTATGAAGCACTTAACATGTATTGGACTTGCTGATTTATGGGCATCTCTCCCATCATCCTCACAGCCTCCCTGCAAAGTAGTTTTGCAACTGAAAGAAGAAGGCAATGTGAAGGTCTTTGTCTTGAGACCACCCAGCTGAGCCTCCTTCTGACCCCTTAACCATCACCTCCCCTGGGGTGGATCTGGGTTCTTAGATGCTAAAGCAGAGAAGCCCTGGATTGGCTCACAGGTTAGGGGCTTTGCAAAATTCAGAAGCTTCTTTCCTTGTGTCTTTATCCTGACAATAAATCACTGTCATGGTTGAGTACTGCCCACAGGTGTGTTTTGTTTGGTTCGCACAACATTTATAAAAATGCGAGCCAACTTTAACAATTCTGGAAGTTTCACAAACTTGGATTTCTGGCTTTTCTTGAAAGATGTAGAAGATCAGTCACATGGCAGCATTTGCCAAGAACTGATCAGCTACTGTCCCCTTTGGATTCCTATGCCCTCCAGTTTGCCACAGTCCCCACCATTCCCTATTGCCCCAACACTGGAAGTCAGTTATCTTTTATCAATATATCTACAACTTTTCTTTTATACTGGGTTCAATTTACTCATTATGTTGTATGCCCCAGGAAGGCATCTGACCTTGCAACTCCTGGATTAGACAAGTGTTAGTTCACCCTGTCTTCTTTGAATTATTGGATCCCTGAAGCACTGTTTGAAGGGCTAGCTGGGAAAGGTAGCACCCACTGCAGTGTTCCTGGCCCCCATCTCGTCTTTCCATTGATATACTCAAGGGTGAAGCATGGGCCAAACTTTCAGATGTGGTCCTTTCGATTGGCTATTTCTCAAAGGTGCCAAGCCTCCCCCTGCAGCCAGGCACTAGGCTTTAGGGCTCAGTAGACACTCCAGCCTGGGGGCTTTCAGCCTGCCCGTTGACAGCCTCACAGGGGGCCACATCCCCAGACATGAAAAAAATCTCTTTAGTGTGACACCTGTTGACCCTCGTGGAGAGGGATGGAGTGTGGGTCAGCTCCATCTTGTCCTCCTCGGTTGGTGTGACCCATGGACAGCAACGGAAAGCAAGCCGGAATCCAGAGCGAAACCTGAAGAGTGGAGGATCATCTTGAGAAATGGAGTGAGGGAAACAGTATGGGAACTGCCCTGTGGTGCCCCACCTCCAGGAGCCGATCTCCCCTTCGGAGGAAAGTTGCTTCGGAAATTCACTCCTAAGAGCTCAGGGTCTCTGGAGGACTTCCCTGGTGGTCCAGTGGTTAAGAATCCTCCTGCCGTTGCAGGGGAGGAGGATTCGATCCCTGATCCGGGAACTAAGACCCCACATGCCTGTGCAGCTAAGCCCATAACCACAACTACTGAATCCCAAGCGCCCTAGAGCCTGTGCTCCACAAGAGAAGCCACTGAAATGAGACGCCTGAGCACCGCAACTAGATAGAGGTCCCTGTTCACCGCATCTAGAGAAAAGCTGGCGTGTAGCAAAAAAAGACCCAGGGCAGCCAAAATAAAGAAAGAATAACAAAGAGTTAGAGAAAAAAGCTCAGAGACACGTTCTTTAGAGGATTGGGGTTTTGGAAGCAGCCAGAAGTAATCTGGAGCCAAGTCCAAGTTTGAAGTGGGTGATTAAGCTGGACAAGACCATTTGTTATTACAAACAAACAAAAACAAACCAAGTACAATTATAACACAACAGATTTTCTTGTTTGATTTGTTAATTGGCTTCCAAAGGAGTATGCAAAGAGGAATCTTAAGAAATTGGGGCTTTGGCAATGTTGGCTGGAATGAGGATGCTCTCCAAGGGGACTGCTTTGAAAGGAAATATGCACATTGAACTACTAAGTTTGGGGACATTTGCTTAAAAAATAAGTGAGCTTTCCCCATGGCAGCACGAGGATCCCCATGTAAATGAGAGATCAGAGGAAGGAGAAAGTGAGTGGGAGAAGTGAGATGGAGCTGGCAGAAGGTAGACACTGTCCTGTTAGGAACAGAAATAGATGAGGCCCTGTGTGGTGCAGACAGAGGCAAACAACTGAGTGGTCTGTTCCCAGGAGATGCAAGGTTTTGTGTTTCAGAAGCACGGACCTGATGTTGGTTCTTCCCCCTGTAGCTCTAGAGATTCCATGGTGCAGCCCAATAAATGCCTTTATTATGGGAGCTTCATGGCCACTGTCCCTTATACCTACACTCAGCATGTCCCAACCTGAGCTCCCTATCCTCTTCCTCCCATGCCCCTGACAGTCGTCCTCATCTCAGCTCCTGGTAACTAACCACCCAAGAACCTGGAGTCATCCTTGACTTCCTCTCCCTCAAATTCTGTTGACTCTACCTTAGCAATCTCCAGACTCTGACCACTTCTCATGCATCTAAGCCCACCATCTCTTGCCTGGTGGGATTACTGCAACTGCCTAATCTTCTCCCTATTCTTCCCCTTGCCATGTTCCCTCTGCCTGGAACTCTTATCTAGACAGCTACCAGGGCCCACTCAGGCCTCAAGTCTGCTCAAAAGGCCCCTCAGGAAGGCCTACTCTGACCATCCTGTAAAATTGCAACCTTTATGCCCATTACTTCCCCCATTACTTTCTGTCTTCCCTTACCCAGTTCTCATTTTTCTTTTTTTCTATAGGATTTATCACCTAATACACACTGTGACTTATTGACTCATTAGGTTTGCTCATTGTCTATCTCCACCTGCTCCCCCTAGAAGGTGAGCTCCCTGAGGAAGGGGATCACTGTTTTTGTTCACCAGGGTATCCCAAAGGGCCTGGAAAAGTGCTGGCACACACAGCCACTGGAGATTATTTTCTGGAGAAGGGGAGACTGCACCAGGAGGAACAGTCCTACTGCAGGGCTGCTGTCTTCAAATACTGAACGATCAGTGGTTGTTTCAGCAACTCATAGAGCCGTGATGTGTTCAGACTCCCATGGACTGTGTCATTGGGTACCCGTGCATAGACACAGAAGGCTGGGGGCATGATGTGACAGTCCCTGTCTAAGTTCTCACTTCTACAACTGCATGAGAGAAAAATGTGTGATGTAGGGATGAGATTACAGACCTTGGAAACACACAGAATTCTTGTTGTATGAGTTTAGGAGAGTCTTCCTTTCTGAGACTCAGTTTCTTTATCTGTAAAATGGGGATAACACCCCCATCCGATTACACGGATAGCCCTGGTGGCTCAGATGGTGAAGAATCTGCCTGCAATGCAGGAGAGGCAGGTTTCTCCCTGGAGAAGGGAATGGCAACCCACTCCAGTATTCTTGCCTGAAGAATTCCATGGACAGAGGAGCCTGGTGGGCTACAGTCCATGGGGTATACTTGCCTGTCAGGAGACAATGGAGGGTTCTGATGCCCATTAAACATTCAAAAGATAAAAGTCAGTCTCTCACTTCCTTCTGGCCTACCCCAGGGGGGTAGGATGTCTGAGCAACAAAGGCTCCACTGGCCTTATGAATGACCTGGATATCTGTGCAGAGAGGTGATAAAAAAGGCCCAGGGTCAATGTCACTCACATCACTGCCTTGTTAAGGCCAGGACTCAGTGTTCACCTCTCACCGACTCTTCCCTGGCCCCCCCGTTCCAGGCTCCTGCCTGGCCCAGCATCTCCCACCTGTGCATGTGCTCCAGAGCAAATGCCAGCCCCTCAGTGAGACTCTACTTCTCTAGAGGTACGAGAGTGGTGGGAAGTGAGAATTGGGCTCCTTCTTCCCTGGCAGTCTCTGCCAAGGTCATTTCCTAGCGCCCCTGAAAGCCCCTCCTGTGATCTTCCAGGGAGCAACCCGTTTCCCCTCCAGCCTCGGCCCCAGGCCTCAGGTTGAGTGCTTCATTCTGCTGCGGCTGGCAGTGTTCTCGCCCACTGACAGTCCTCAGTGCGTCCTCAATGTAGAAAGCTCTTAAAAACATCAGTACCTCCCTCCTTGGCTTTTTTTTTTTTTTCTGTCTTTATTGAATTTCTTACAATATTGTTTTTTTACATTTTGGTTTCTTCGGCTGATAGGCATGTGTGATCTTAGCTCCCCAGCCAGGGATCAAACCCACACCCCCTGCATTGGTAGGCAAAGTCTTAACCACTGGACCACTAGGGAAGTAGCCAAGTCCCTCCCTCCTTTACCTGGCTCCTTCCTTCCTCCCTCTCTGGCTGTCCTTTTGCCTCTCTGCCCCTCCCTCCATCTCTCTGTCCTCCCTTCTCTCTTCTCCTTGTCCCAGGTGCAGCCCCCAGAAGAAAGAGCAGGAGCAGACGAATGTGAAAGCGGTGGCCTGGGCATTGGGCAAAGCTTTGGGGAGGGGGTGGGGCCCAAGCGAGGCCCAGACAAGAGGGAAGATTATGCTGGGGAATCCCTGTGAGGATGGCAATCCCATGGGGGTGGGTGAAGCTCTGCAGGGGGTCCAGATGGAGTCAGGCTGAGAAGAGGGGCTGGAGTGAGGGCTCACCTGTGGTTGAGGCAGCAGTAGATGATGGGATTGTACATGGTGGAGCTCATGGCCAGCCAGAAGAGCGCCAGGTAGACCTGCTGGATGAACTTGTGGCAGTAGATGTCCTCCTGGAAGGTGCCCAGGATGAAGTAGAGGTGGTAGGGCAGCCAGCAGATAGCAAACGTCACCACCACCAGCACCATGGTCTTCACGAACTGGTCCAGGAGACACTTGGGTCACTCCTCAGCCCGGACGCCCCAAGTCCCAGTCTTCCTGAGGATGGGGGTGGGGCACCCCTCATGCCAGCCTGAGAAGCCCTCAATAATCAGGTCCCCTCTGCGTCCACAGCCTCAGACCCCCAGAACACCTGCTACCCAGGCACTCCTGGGCCCTCGACCTGAGGGCTTTTGCTCAGGCTGGTCTCTAGGCTCCCAGTGCTGTCTTTCCTTCTTAGTCCTCACTCCTCAAAGCCCAGTTCAAGGCCACCTTCTCTAAAAGGCGTCCTGGATCCTTCTTTGAGCAAACCAGCTCCCCTCTCTGGAGAGTGGATGAGCTCTCGCTCCTAACCCCATCCTTAGGAGAGACCCTGCCAGCTATGGGTCCGCAAGATCCCCACTCGCTGCAATCTGTGTTTGTCACAACCCAAAGACCAAAGGCAAGTCGGCCGGCCTGGGGAGGCAGGAATGAAGGCTCTGGCCAGAGACTTGGGACCAACGCAAGGTACACGCGGAGTCCATCCTCCACGGCGCCCTTTCGGGCATGGGCTGGAATTCTCTAGGCTAGAATACTGGAGTGGGTAGCCTTTCCCTTCTCCAGGGGATCTTCCCAACCCAGGAATCGAACCGGTGTCTCCTGCATTGCAGGCAGATTCTTCACCAGCTGAGCTATCAAGGAAGCCCCATTAAGCACAAAGGAGGAAGTAAAATTACATATCCCACCCCCACCACTATTAACGATTTGGAATATTTTCTTCCAGAATCATGCATTGTATGTGTGTATATACACATGTATTAGATAGATTATGTATGTCATCTATATCTGCATCTGTCTGTCTAGATAGATTTCCTGGAATAGATATGTTTCTATCCTGCACCAGCATCCCTACCAGGAAACGGGACAGTGAAGACGGGCCACACTGTCCAAGCTATCGGATCACCTCTTCCCGACCGTGAGCATTGTCGGGAACGTGGCTCACATCAGCAGACACACTTTCTGCTGTGAGCAAGTGGCCTGGAACACCACTGATGGTGCTCATCCAGTCCCCATGAGGACACCCGGGGCTGTGTTGAGGCCCTTTTATTTCCTTTGGGGTAGAGGACATGCATGCTGCCCCTTCTGGTTTCTGAGTGATGCTGCAGTCATACTCCAACAAGACCCCGGCAGGAGCATTTGGTGAATGGACCCCAGACCCCTGGCTCTATCATGTGACCTTCTTCTAGGAAAACTGAGGTGTTCCCAAGCCACTTCTCTCCTCCGCATGTGGGCCAGCCTTTCTGGGCGCCTTTCAAGAGGTGCTGCCACCTGGAGGGAGGAGAACAGGTGGGTTCTTCCCTAAGTATCTCCCCTAAAACCTGAGTTGAGAATTTGACTTTCTAATAACAAAATGTCTGGGGCCTCCTAGACACCCTGATCCCCATCTATCCTACTGTGGAGCAGGTAAGGAGAGGAGGAGCAGTGAATGCCAGGCCCCTGTCACCTCTGATTGTGAGGTCACAGCTAGACCTTGAGGGTCAGCTGAGCCATCTGCCTCAGTGTCCAGATGGAGGAACCGAGGCTCGGAGAGGCACAGGAAGTCTGTGTCACGTGAAACAGCTCTACAGACTTAACACCTAAATGATTTCCCTTTCACTGAGAATCAGCCCTGTGGAGTCAGAAGACCTGGGTTCTTGTCTAGCCTCTAATCTAAAGCATGACCTTGGGCAATCAGATCTCTCCTTCAGTCTCAGTTTCCCCGTTTGTAAAACATGGAGATAATCTCCACCATGCTTCCCAAGTATGAGTGATCCCCCTTTGTTGTCTCATTCTTTTTTGGGGGTCGGTGCAGGATAGGGATTCACTCTGGGCTAAGTTCCCACCAGAACGGAGCGCCAAGGAGTTTTGGGGACCATCTTCCAGGGCCTGCCAGAATCAGGAATGGCTTCTCTCACAGCTGAGACTGCCTTTTTTTTTTGCATTTTGATTTTGCAAGTGTATGTGCATTTTCCTGGAGAGGGCATCTGTCATTTTATCAGATTCATACATGCAGAACATGATCCTGTAAGGATGGAGCCCCCAATCTAAATCTCAGAAGCTCCCTAACCCAAGAATGAATAAGAAATTCTCACACACAAGAAACCAAGCTTTCGCCCAAATCCTCTCCGAATTCGAAGTATCGCCAAAGTATACCCTCCGAGCCCACCTCTGCCCTCTTGCTTCCTGCCGTTGTCTGAATCAGGATCAGAAATCACCAACCCCAGAAAACTGGTGGTTGGTATCCTGAGTTCTCACCACCCCGTGCGTCCAGGAGAAAAGCTCCATGTTGAGGTGGAGAAACATCGCCGCCCAGTGGCCAGTCTCGAAATGTCCTGCTCCCATCCCTTCCCTGAGCCAGGAAGAGGGGCGCGTCCCTACATGGACACGGCCCGTGGAGCATTGAGTCCCGAGAACGTGGGCTACAGGGTGCAGGCAAAGACCCATGGCAGAGCCTGCCCTCGAAACACAACAGCCCCCAGGAACAGGCTTCTCAGAGGAGCGGCGCCTTCTGGCTGGCGCTCGGGACTGGGGAGAGGTGGGGGCCGGCGTGGGGAGAGGGCTGTCACGGGGGGCGGGGCGGGGCCTGAATTGTCGCCGTGATCCGGCGGCTCTGGGCTCAGAGCCTGCACAGCCTTGTGCTTGCGGAGGCCAGGCTTTTCTTGGACTAAGTCTGGCAGGTTTGTTTTCGTTTGTTCCCGTTTAAACGACCACATACTGGGCGCAGGTTCTGCTGCAGGCTCGGTACCAAGGGCCTCACAACAGTCCCTGAGCCAAGTGCTCCTGCGAATCTCCTTGGAGAGAGAAAGAGCCAAAGGCTCAGAGAGGTTAAGTGACTCAAAGGATCCTTGAGCCAGCAGGGGGCAGAGCCGGATTCCAACCCGAATACTGTCCCCAGAACCTCAACCAATTCTTTATCCTCTATTTTGAACTTCCAAGGTGCGTGGGGATGACAGAGGCGCGTGAGGAGTAGGCGAACTGAGGCCCAGAAAAGGAAAGGACTTACCCAGGGTCACACAGCGGCTGCACCGTGTCTGAGTCCTGCTTTCTGCCCCCACCCCCTAGCCCATGGTGCCTGCCTCAACTCAAGGCTGTCTCCAGGCTCCTCCTGAAAACACCCCAGATTCCATCATCTGCCCTTTCTTTCTGCCACCCTGACACGCCCCTTATTTAAGCAAGAGTGTTGAGGAGACTGGGCTCCTAAGCAGGACTGCCTGGATTGAAATCCTTGATTTACCACTTAGCAGCTGTGTGGTCCAGGCCCTTAGTTTTTTTTAGTGCTTTGGTTTCCTCATCTGAGAAATGGGAATAATAATAGTACATACCCATACTGTTATGAGAATTAAATGGGTTCATGTATGTAAAGTGCTTAAACCAGACCTGACATTTACTGAGTGCTAAGTGTCACTTTTAGTTGATACTGTGCTCACATTATCCCCAGTTCACTCACAGATACCAGTGCACTCACTTACACACTGCACATGTGTACCCCATGAATGTGCACGCACGCACACACAGGCACATGCACACACACCGTGTTCCCCCACCCCCAGGCCTTACAAAAGGAGCATCTTGCCACCACTGTCTTCAGGCCAGGCCACCACGCACTTGGTGGCGCCCTCATCCGTGGTGACGGTGGAGTAGAAGCACTGGGGGAAGGCGAGCGCCAGGGCCACCAGCCAGATGCCGGCAATGACCGCTCTGGTGCCAGGAGCTGAGAGCCGGGGCTGGAAGGGGTGGACGATGGCCATGTACCTGTGAGCAGAGGGCAGTGTGAGTGTGGGGTGCACTCCCATCAGACCAGCCTGCATCTCCTCTTTCCACTCCAGGCCCACACTCTCCAGTCCTATTCCCCGCACCCAGCTGGTGACCTGCAGAGAGCTGCCGGGCTGGTGACTGTCTTGTAGACACACGGCACACACGGCCCTAAACCTCTGTCCACCACGTCGCCTCCTTCTGAGCGTGGACATGCTCTCAGAAGGCCACGAGAAGGCAGTGTGGCCACACCAGAAATCCATCTGGGGCATTGCCCTGCAGCTCTGCCCTGCCGAGTTCCTCAGCAACACAGCCTCTCTTCTGTTCAGAAACTTTAACAGAGCCCGAAGGTCTTCTGCACAAAGTCCAAAGCAGCTGCCCACCAGCTCTCTGCAGTGGGGGAAGTGCTGTACATATGCAGAAATGACTTGGTCCTAGATGAACACCCGAGTCTTCCTCCCTGGGATTAATCTGAATCTTGAGACATGGCCAGGACAATAAGACAAAGCTCAAATCCCACCCTTTAGCTGATCCTGACACGATATCTGATATACTACCTGCCCCACTCCAAAACACAAACCCTAGCACTTCAAATCCCCTATCCCCTTCCTAATATTTTCCTATAGCCCTCATGACCTCAAAATACAATATATAATTTATTTAGTCTTGTGTTTCTATTTAAATTTTCACCAGGGCAGGCATCTTTATCTGTTTTTACCTGAATGTACAGAACAGTATCTGTACATAGTGGGCACTGAACGTTAGGATTGATTGAGGAACGGGTTGGAGGGTTTCCATTATTACCGTCCGGACCTGAGCCACCATCTTCCCTCCCCTGAGTTACTAGTCAACCGCCTCCTGCCTGTCTGGACTCCTGGCTTCCACCCTGCCCTCTACAGTCCATACTACCCACCCCACACCTGACCTTTCAGGTGGAAGTTCCAGGAGACCATGCTTTTCCCACTGGTGTATATTCCCCAGTGCCTGAAACAGTGCCTCAAATACTTATTGGGAGAACGAAAAAGTCTTCGGTGACTTTCAGATCTGCCCACTGATCACTCCTCCACCCTCCTGCCCCCATCCCCTGCAGAGGCTCAGTCTGCAGCCCAGGAGATCAGCACCCAGGAGGTAATTGGCCTCATCGTAATTATGTGGTAACTGCATGCAGCGTTTAATTTCCCCTCTCATATAATCTATCTAGGAATAGGAAACAATATAAGCAATTTCCTTGTAAAAGAAAGAAACCAAAACAAAAATCAACTCCAGAGAAGAACACTGCAGAAGGTCCCTAAAACACTGTTGCTCTTCCCCTATAGCCTTGAACAGCCATCCTGGGCAAAGTTCTTTCTCATGTCTAACCTTATCCTTTCTCATCTCAGTTGCACAGTCCTCTGTGAGACTATTCCAGATGCATGGTTTAGGATCATGAACATGTTAGGAGGCAGTTAATTCCCTGGGTTCTACCCTTAACTTGCTGTGTGACTAGGGGCGTGTTTTCAGCCCTCTCTGAAGCCAACACAGTGAGCCGGCTCCCCCCAGCTGCCCCACTGCCCCGCTGCCCCTTCTTGCCTGTCAGCAGCAATGGCAGTCATGGAGTAGATACTGACGAACATGGCTGTGATGGGGAAGAGGTTCTGGAAGTAGCAGAAGGCACGGCCAAAGTACCAGATGTTGTGGCTGGCATAGACGAAGTTGAAGGCAGCATTGAAGGCAGCCATGCAGAGGTCGGCCAGGGCCAGGTTGACGATGAAGTAGTTGGTGACCGTGCGCATCCTCTGATGGGCCAGAATGATCCAGATGACTGTGGCATTACCCATCACAGCCACCAGCACCAGGGCCAGGTAGGCTGCAGTCCACAGTGCCAGCTGCCAGCCGGGCATGGAGAAGGCTGTGATGCCCGTGGTGTTGCTGTCAAGGCCAGATGAGATATTGATGTCGGTCATCACGACACAGGCCCCCATGGCCGCCTCTGGGTCTGGGGACAAGGGGTAAGGCTCCTTAGCTCCCTCCAGGCCCTGGTGCCCTGTGGGAGCACACAAATCCTCTCTGAGTGTGGGGAACAGAGGAGTGGGTGCCGAGCCAGGCGCGTCCAGGGAGCCGGGGGGTCACTCCCAAGTCTCAAACAGAGATGAGTTAGGCTGAGCAGAGAGCCGGGTCCAGAGCCCTAGGCACTTCAGATTCCCATGTCCTGGCCAGCCTTCTCCAATGTCACGTGGATATCTAGAATCCAAGACGTGGTCTGAGAGTAAGAAGCATCCTTATAAATCATCAGCCTGCGTCTTCACTGCAGAAATGGAAAAACAGATTCCAAGTGGGGACCAGCCCAGGTCATGTAGTAAGTTGGTGATAAACTCGAACCCAGGTCCCTGCTAATGTGATTCAAGGACCATTAGGGATCAGACGTGCACAAAGCAGCTGTCTGGATCCGGCAGGTCAGTTGTGCAGCAGGCGGTCTCTCCAGGCGCTGGGGTGCAGGCGGGGCGGTCTTCCCACAGCTCTCCGGGTGGGGCCGTGTGGCGCGGGGCAGCAAGGGCCTTGGCAGAGGTGCTGTCTTCTCACGAGCTGGGGCTTTGCCTCCACCCTTCGTCCCACCTCCTGCGTGGATGGCCCGGCTTCGTCTCTTAGGAAAGATTTAGGACTGGCTGCTGAGGCAGGGAGAGACCCAGGGAAAGTGGGGGGTGGCAGGGGTGGGGCCTGGCATGGAGGGCACAGTCCTCAGTAGGGTGTTTACATTCAGCTGGGCCGCAGCTACATCTAGAATGTGACCAGGGGCACAGGCTTGGGAGCCTCGGGGACTCTAGGCAAGGACCCCTAAGCCTTTTCTAACTTCAGTTTCCCCATCTGAAAAAAAAAATAAGAACCATACAGTGTGCATCTCACAGTGCATTGGTGAGTTTTAAATGAGATATTGTATGTTTAGTCTGCTTAGCACGGGAGCTGACGCATAAAAGGCTTGACAAGGAGTCGTAGCCCCATGGGAGGCCTCGGGGCCTGCTCAGGGCTCTGTGGCCAAGATGGAATGCAAAGCACGTCCAACCCGTTCTCAGGTGATGCTAATGCTGCTGGCCCAGGGGCCTCACTTTGAGAACCACTGTCTTAGGACAAGGACAGGGCTCACTGCTTCTCCTGTGAGCTCCAGAAAACCCCGAGGGGCGGCCCGCAGACTCCACTCTTCCGCCCGGACTGTGTGATGTGTCGGGCACTGCCTGAAGCTGCTGTGTCTGGGTGACTGTACGTGTATGTAACAGGCATGTGTAAGCGCATGCACATTTGTGTACCTGTGCACACCCGTGGGGGTGTAGACCATCAAGACCCGGCAGCCTCAGAAGGGCAGGGCATGTCCCTCCTTAAAGCCTGGAGGGTTCAAGTGTGCTTCACCTCCTTGGACTCCAGCCAGCCTCCGGGGACCCCTACGCCTCCTGTGGGTGTGTATACTGTAGGACCCTGGGCGCCCTGCCCTCCCAGAGTCAGCTTAGGACACAATGGCTCCCACCCCATGGCCAAGCCGTGGGGCAGAGGGAGGCCTGTTCCCTGTCTGGATTGGGCCACCAGCCTCTGTTTGGACAACTGCCTTTTGCTGAACGACCTCTGCCTCTGATATCTTTTGGTGGGAGAGCAGCAGACATTCCAGTTTTCAGGGCTTGTTTGTCTCATGTTCCACTGACCAGGGTTTTGGAGGCAGAATGTGTAGAAATAAGGATGTAAGCTGGGGCAACCTACTCTGTTGGTGGTTCTGCCTCCTCCTTCAGGCTGTGAGAATTTGAGTTTCAGGTGCAAGCAGAGTGCAAGGATAGGACACCAGAGAGTGTATCAACCATCAGAGAACCCCCAAATAGTACCCGTTTCTCCTCCCCGCCAGCATCCCACCACCTCTAGTATTTACATGAGGATTATGTTTTGGAGCTGTTAAATCTAAGAGTTTTATTTCCCCCTTAAATCATGTGCTCTTGTAGCTTTCCAACTATGTACTGGTGGCCTCGTAGAAGGAGAGGGTGGGGCCGCCCTGGACAGAGGAGCGTGCAGAGCTGGCCTGCGAAGTCCATCACTAAACAATGGCCATGAAGGCCGGTCTTTCTCAAAACAGGAAAACATTCTGAATTCCTTTCGCATCTCTGCACACGTCCAGACTGCAGTTTGGTCTTCGAGGATTTGTAAGGGAAGTTCCCTCCACCAGGAAGTGGAGGAGAATGCTGCCCACCGGTTCTGTTGGATGGGCTGAGTGGCGGCGCAGGTTGGGTACCCTTGGGAGGCTACTCTGGTTCCGACTTTAGAGTGCTCCTTACTAAGGAGCCCATGGGATCAACCCCTGGAGAAGGGAGGGGAGAGGAGCGGGTGTGGGCAAAGAGGGTGGCTGGGCAGTGATGGTGAGACAGTGGCCTTGGACAGCCCCAGGTCGGATCACTCTGAGCTAGAAGGACCCGTTAGAGTCATGGTTTGTGCTATTGTGGTTTTAAAGCTGGAGTCCTGAAGACTAGAATGGAAGAGGAGTTGTCTATCAGGGCGTTTGGAGGCGACGGTAGGAGCTGCTGCAGGGGTAAGGGACGGGAGAAAGAAAGGGGTTCCAGGAAGCGCTGTGGCCCAGGTGCCCCTCAACAGCATCCCAGAGATGCCACGTCGCCTGGTCATGGCTTCAGCGGGTCACATGTGGCTGCAGGTCATCTGGTCACCGCGAAGTTCACCTGGGCTGGGCAAAACGAGGTCGAGGACGGCACGGGGAGTTGTTTATTTGGGTAAATGAATCCCATTTGAAAAATCAGCCTTCATTCTGGAACTATGCGCTTCTTGCTTTGGGGGTTAAAATATCCTTTGTTTCATGAAATAGTGGTGATGGCAGATGGTAGTTGCCTCCGTGATTTTTTCTGTTCCTTTAATGTTTATTACTCAGTGGAATACCATGCTGCTGAGCTGTATGGTTCCCTCAGTTAGGTGTTTTGATGCTTTACTGGTCCATGAAATTCAAAGACACAGGAGCCCTGATCTAGTTTCTCCTTTGGCGAAGAGGAGGGGGAGCCCCCAAGGGGAGGAGCCTGGCCCCGGGTCCTCTGGCCTGTGCAGGGGGCCGCTTCCTGATGGCTTCCCCCATCCTGCACAGTCTGCACTGGCCTGTCGGCCTCAGGTCTCATGAAGCCACTTCTTGGTCACCTCCTTGTCACACAGGTGGGGGGTTCCTCAGGGCCTGGGCCGTGTCTTTGTCTTGTTTATGTCTTTTGTCCAGGAGAGTAGCGAGCGTAACACAGGTACCCTCTAAAGGGGGACTGAATGAAAATGATGAATCAAATTTAAAATGACTCAGGGGTGAGGGACGGTAGTTTGTATATATTGCATATATCATCTGTTTATCTATCTATCTATAATGCTGTGGCTTAGTGGCTGAGGTGTGTCTGACTCTTTGTGATTCCATGGACTATAGCCTGCCAGGCTCCTCTGTCCATAGAATTTTCCAGGCAAGAGTACTGGAGTGAGTTCCCATTCCTTCTCCAGAGGATTTTCCCAACTCAGATGTCAAACCCGAGTGTCTCACATTGCAGGCAGATTCTTTACCATCTGAGCCACCGTGGAAGCATCTATCTCTAATAAGTAGATACATATCTAATAGAGAGATAGATACTTGACAGATAGGTAGGTAGATGTGAAAACCTTTAACTAACGGGATTGGCCGTGATGGGATTTTAGGGAACTTTGAGTGGGCAGGGCAGTGTAAAACCTGGCACCTTGGCACACAGTAGGTGCTCAATAAATCTCAGATGAATACATGAATAACAAATAATGAATAAAGTTTAGAACGTAACCCAGTCAGGGATGATGGTAGTAGCATTCTTATTTTCACAGAATCTAAAGCTTAAACTAAAAAAACATGTCTGTGTGGGTCAGGCAGAGCTTTTGGAGGATGCTGAGGGTTTCCACAGCATCTCAGGATTTATTCCTCACAGTTCGCCCTGCCTTGTCCACAAACCAGAGGGTCCCAGGCTGGCCCCTTTAGAAGATGAACTCTGGGCCCCCCATCCCCCTGGCCTGTGCATCAGTGGCCCAGAATCTGGGACTTCAGCTGGGAGAGGGAGAGTTGCAGTCTGCCAAGAGCACGCGCTGCAGCTGACACCTTTTTTAAACACTGTGAGTGTGATGGGGTGGTGCCTCCCCCTAAAAGCCTGAAGTTTATCTAGCCAGAGAAGAGAGGCCGTGAGTGTTTACATCTGCCGTGGTGCTGGTATACACAGAGCTCAGAGGCTCTTAACACCAAACCGGTTCATTTCCCAACATCAGGCTTCTGCAAAATCTGCCCATTTATGGCAGGCCAAGGAGGAAGTGGGCGAGGCTTGCCTAGGAGGGGGCCCCCCAACACCCGGTTGCTAGTTAGATGCCTGGGGTCATCCCAGAGGCAGCCTGGCTGTTGTAGACAGAGGGGACTTGGTGTCTGCCCTGGTGCTGGCAATTGTGCTGTGGTGAGGAAGGGGGGAATGAGTGAGGAAAAGGAGGGGACAGAGGGTCAGGGTTTCTGCTGAAAAGCCTGAGCCCTGGGCCCTGCAGAGGGTCTCTCAACTGGACTGGGAGTTGAGAAACTCCCTGCAATCATCCCGGAGTTAGGAGAAAATGTCATGTCTCTACCTTCATGAAGCTTCCAGCCAAGATGGAGAGCCAAATCCTGGAAGAGCAGAGAGAACTTGCCACTCCCTGTATTATCTGTCCCTCTCCACTCCATCCTCTGCCACAGTGATCTCTTAGAAACACTGACCATGCACTTCCTGCTTGAAACTCTCAATGAATTCCCATTGCTCTCTGGGTTGAAGAAAATAGCCTCATTCCCTTACTGCTAATTCTTTCTCAGGACCACTTTCCCCTTGCTTCTTTTAGCAATAAAGCCTCCCCTGTTGTTATCTATTGTCACCTGGCTTCCCAGCTAAAGACTGTATTTCCAAGCCTCCCTTCCAAGCCAGATGTGGTCACATAATTAAGATCTGGCCAA